GTGAGTACGGGGGGGGAGGCGTGAGTACACTGGGGGGGCGAGTACACGGGGGTGGGGTGGGGTGTGAGTACACCTGGGGAGACCCAGGGACAATGAGATGCCTGAGGACCCTGATGGGAGTCAGCCCAGGGTGGGGTTTGGCTTGCTCTCAGGTCGACTGGAACTGCCTGTCACCTTCCCTCAAGTCTGGCTCCCCTGGGGCAACCACGTGGGTCAGAGAGGCGACGCCCGGCCCCACCACTCACACAGCGGCCCATGTCACCATACACATGGTCAGGACAACCACGTGTTCCTATGGGGAACCCCTCCTGCCTCCAGCAAAGCCCCAGGTCGGTCCCAACAAGCAACCAACAGGTGGATCAGGCCCGGGCTGGATGGACAGTGCCTGAGCTGATAGCAGGCCACATGGTGGCCCACATGGACGGGCCCTGCCCTCTGCCCACTACTGTCAGTCCACCCACACCAAGTACCCAATCCACACTGCCCAGGCACCATCAGACCCAGCACGCCCAAGCTGCCCCTCGACCCAGCTCCACATCCCAGCAGGCCCGGCCTGCCCAGCACCCCAGCCTGGGGGCAAAGCCTGCCCTGTCCTGTCAGGCCAGGCTGGCACCGCCTCCCATATAAATCTCGTCCCCATGGCTGGGAGCCGGTGTCTGTGCCGTCCGGTTTAGCACCCGAGGTCTGGCTCCCTGCCGTGCCCAGGGACGCGGCTGCCCCAGCGGGTGCAGGACCCTGTGCCCACAACCCGGGCAGAGGGGGCAGCTGCAGTGCATCCAGCCCGCCGCTGCCCGCATACCTCATGCCCTCGGTGGACCGGTGGCGGTGGTTACGGTAGAGCTGTGGCACGCCTAGCATGGCCTCGGTCAGTACCGCCAGGAAGCCCAGAGACTCCACAAACACAGCTGAGTCGATGGCCAGGTAGGTGACGTAGCCCGCCACGCCCGTGAAGGCCAGGACGCACTGCAGGTAGTCCGCGAAGCTGCTCCAGTGCCAGAAGTACTGGGGGTCGCAGTCTGGGGAGAGAGGGGAGAGGGGAGAGGGTCAGGAGCAGTGCAGGGGAGA